CGTAGTACATTCTGTCTATGTATGTCTTATATATATATATATATATATATATATATGCGTATGTGTATTTGCAAAGTATCTGTTCACAAGATCGGGGGTATATTCAAAATATTAGTGAAAACTTAATCCTCGATCTCTCCTGTGTTGACTTTACGCTGATCTATTCATTCATATAAGCATCCTATTGTTTTTTTTCAAATCCCTTCGCCACCTCCACCTCTTTCCCTCATCCGAGTTTCCCTTTACTGGAAGACTCAAAGCAACTCACTAGATTACATAGAGTGACACATTTATATATTTTTTTAATTCTACTACTACTACTACTACTACTACTACTAATATTATTATTATTTTTCACCTCCCCTATTCATATTATTTCAGATAGATTTCTAATTGCCGATTCCATCGGGGGGAGTAAAAATGCGGTCGAATGCGAAGAACTTATCCGAGGTGCGCCAGCTCAATCACGCGGCGGTCGCGCGCCTCTTCACCCCACCTTCCTCCCATGCCCGCGGCTCGCGGAGCGCTCCACGGGCCTCCTCGACGATCCCTCCCCTGTCGCGTATGGCACCGCATCCGCAGTGGGAGCTGCCTGGGGGTTCCCCCCGCGGGCGGGATTTAAACGCGCGCCTGAACGCGCAAGTGGAGCTCGCCGTGGCGGTCGGGGCGTTAACCCCGGAAGACGCCGAAGGGGTCCTCTCGCGCGGCACCGCCGCCCTTCTTGAGGCGGATCCGCACCGTTCCTGCTTCGCGCTCCAATTGGAGAAGAACAAACACGCGATTTGTCTTCGAGGGGCCTCGCCGACGACCCCGCTTCAGCCTGTTTCTTCGGATGCCCATCGGCGGGCGTATCGGCATCAACAGGCGGTGCTTCGCCACGAGCGCGGCCTCGCGCGGCGTCGAGTGATGGATCGCTATGTGGATCTCACCCCTGCCCAGCTCGGGCCTTCCCTCGTGCGGCCAAATGATTACACGGCGAAAAAACTCGCGGAACGGTATGGCGGGCGATGGGTGTTGGATAATCCACATCATCAAGAGCTTCTCCGGGGTGAGCCCCTGATGAATCGGATTATGCGAGGGGAGTACTACGGCGAGCCGGGGGTGGTCGTCAAGAAGGCCGCCTGAAGGTTCCTGAAAGACGGGAGCATCGCCCGTTGTATTCACCTCTCTCCCCTTCCCCCTCTCACACACACATACACATACACTCACACACAATAATGTTTATTAGATCATAAAAAGAAGAAGAAATGGGTTCAAAACGCAAAAAATAATGATGGAAGGAATGTAAACTCTTTAGTGGAAAGGATGCCGCCGTGGACGGTGGGGAGGGTACACCAATCGAGTCCAGGTCCGCTCAATTAGAGGACCCGCTATCCATTGATTTGAGAATCTGAGGATCATTGGTGTTTGGACTATTAGTTGGTATTCTCCTTGTGTTTTACCTTGGTCTTTGCGTTTCCTTTATTATTATATTTTTGTTGTCAATTCCCACTGGTAGATATATGTATATTCATTATTGAATAAATCACTGAGCCCCCTGAGGCAAGGCGTGTGTGGTGGTGTGACTTCACACCGTGGGTAGATAGATCAACTCTATTGAGTGATGATTTTCTTTTCCGGTTAAGATGCACCCCTTCTTCCCTCACAAAATATCTTCATTGATAGATTTTTTCCACTTTTATTGATGCTTAGAGTCTGCTGCGCAGCATTTTTAATGGTTTGCTTACCCTTATTTTGCATCCCATAGGCTTTTCGTTTGGTATATACTCGATCTTATTCCCTTTTCCGCTTTTCTTCTTTTTCATTGGGGTGCACCTTCACCGAAGCAGAGTGGAAATGACCGCAAAATTCATTAATCAAGATTTGTATGGTGAACTTTGCTTTCTGTGTACTCATGTGGGCACCGCCGCGGCCAAGGCGATGCTCGCCGCCGCGATGGTCGAAAAAGTTGCCCCGAAGTTTTTAAGTGAAGCGATCACCTCCTCCGGCATCGCGCGGAAGTGTGTGCAAGGGGAGGTCGTCCGTCTCATTCTCGTGCGCGTTTCCCTAAACCAACCGGAGTACCTCGCGTGGTTGATCAGAGTCGTCTCCGATTATCTCGCGAGCCACCCCGCAGAGGAGGTGCTGGCGAGCGTCGGAAAGAGCACCATTACGGGGCAAGTGTTGACGTTTGGATTGAAGGGCAACCTCGCCTCGGCGACCGCGACGGCGGCGATCCAGGCGAGCATCGAAACCTGCCGTCTACTGACCGGACGGCTACGATGGCGGCGTCCCGCTTCTAAACGGATCTCCTTCGCACAGTATCGCTATAATATGACGACGCTCGCGTGCACGGGTTTGGGAACGGTGGTAGGGGGAAGCGTGGGGGCGGCCCTGGGGACGATGATTTTGCCCGGATTCGGAACCATCCTCGGATCCCTCGTGTGCTCCTGCAGCGGCGGGTGGCTTCCGGGATACCTGAGGCACCAAAAAAGTCCCGATCGATATCGCGAACAGCATCAAAAAGAGTTGGCCAACGCACCCTCTCTGTGTATGCGTATCACCCAGGATGACTTCGTCGAACTTTCCCAACGCACCACCGATGTTTCGGTGGGATCGATCACAAGCCTCTCTAGCGAGGAAGCCCCTTGCCACGATGCTGATGATGATGGTGCTGTAAATCGTGCCGCCTCTATGGAGGATAATGTGTTTGCGGAGGATACTTGCTTATTACTACGATCCCGTCAACCTACTGCAAAACCTTCGGGGGATACCTCGCAGGAAAAGGAAGTGGAGATTAATGTCTGCGCCGACGGCTCCCCTTTCACCATTAACGCGCCAAAGTGCATTGCCTTGGCAGGTAAACTCGAGGACCTTGGCGAAGTCCAGGACTGGGATGACGTAAACAAGCGAATAAACAAGCATGGCGAGAATGAAATGTTTTTGTTTTTCTCGGTGAATAAATAGAAATCGAGTTAGGAGGTGCGTGGTACGGGGGAGTCAACCCGAAGGTTGTCGCCGTTCACAATGAAATGAAGGAGGCGTTTAGAACGGAAAAAATAGTATATACTCTTTGTTTCCATCTTCTTTGGGGGATTGGAATTTTAATTCCTCTTAATTTTGGATGCAGTTTTACCCCTCCTTATTTGTACCCTTATAAAATATCAGAACAATTCATGACTTGAAGCTCTTTTGTCAATGTTCTCTGCTATACAAACGATTCTCATTCCTCACACATATTTTTCCATATTTCTATGTCGTTGAGATGATGATCTGCTTTTGAATTTATTCAACAAAAAATAATGGCCTAGTACGTGTTTCTTTTAGCTTCTGTGAGATAGTTAGAATTCAGACCGTGATAATCCTGCCAAATCTCCCATATAGAGCATTTACTTGGGGATAAATTTTTTCTCCCAATAGTACTGTCAAATCGTATGTATCGAGTAGCTTAAATACAGAACTCTGAATAAATGTGAAGGAAAGGAGGTGAGGATACACAGGCGAATGCTGCATTTCAGAAAATATTTTAAGTCTCGAAATTTATAGTGTGAGGAAGTGGGATTCGGAAATTGTACATTATCTCTTGCATATATCTTTGGTAACCGCAAGTAGGCTAAGAAAGGGGAGGTTTAGTATCTCCTGTAGCATTGCTTCAAGGAATCTGTCTTGCGTTTGCTTGTTTATATTTTAAAAAATATCTGTACACACATGTAGTATTGTCTGAGTTCTTCTCTTCTTTCCCTAACCTATATCAGACACACATATAACTTTATCCCTGCTTCTCATCCCTGCTTAAAATCTGTTTATAAATATCAAGGAATAAGCTGCTTAGTTGTTGTTAATAATCAACAATAATAATAGGATCATCTGATTTATCATACCCCACTCACTATCTTAATATATATATATATATATATATACTTATATACACTTATGTAAGTATGCAGCGACCGCCAACTGCATCGCCCGCGTCAGGCAGAGCAATATTAAGAGGACGCCACGCCGTGGTGCGGTCGAGGATTAGTAGCCCGGAAGTTCGTGGATCAGCCATGGAGCTCACTGTTGCGAATCTTAATGCGCTAGATAAGAGGTTTGTTACTCCAATAAAAGCGTCCGAAGGCCGTTTAGAGCTGTCATCGCGTTCTGACGCGAGGAAATACCGAAGTCTTCGATGCAGTGATGTTGAAGAAACGAAGATGTACAATACTAGGGGAAAGGAGAAAGTTAGAGCGTTCATAGATAGCCTCGAGAGCACAGCACCACTTCCGGATCCATGCCCCCCCGTGATCAGCGCACGGGAGCTCCTAGAAAAAGAAATCCGTCATGCCCCGCCCGAGCGCCTGCGGCAGATGCTTTTGCAAACTCACGATGCCTATCTCGACGCACTAAACGAAATGGCTACGATGGATGAAACGATGGCAAAAATGCGTCAAAAACTCTCTATGGTGCAATACAAACTCAGCTGTAGTGAGGAAGAGGTCGAGTTGGTCAAGGTGTATCTTACAGACGCCGAGAAGCACAATGATAACCTACTTAGGGAAAAGAAAAAGGCTCTTCAGAAGCTTGCGATTGCGATGTCGAAGCTTGAATCCCGCACTTGCCGCAGCAGGTGGGCGTGGCAGGAAGTCATGGAACTCCAAAAAAGTCTGTAATGCGCCTCCTAGCGCGAAGCCATAAACATTGAATACGTACAACTGTCAGATAGATGTATTTTTTAGTGTGAAGCAGAAGAGGTCGCGTAGACAAATGTATAATGTGTGTTCCGAATAACTAATACATAAATAAATTAAGAGAAGAAAAGACACATAAACAGGCAACAATTTATATGTCACACATATTACCATCGAACTAGCTCATGAATCGGGCATTGCTGTTCGCTTTTGGTGTGGTATTGGAAGCGGAATAGAGGTCTATATTCCGATATAAAGGGTTAACATAATCCTATAAGCGGAATCTCAGAATCCATCTATTCTCGGCGTCCCTCTTTAATGTCTATAGATTTCTTAAGCCCAGATAATTTGGCGAAAAAAATTCACATAAATACATATATATATATATTATGTGTATGTTGTGTGTGATTGTATATATATGTATGCACAACCTGGGCTGAGAGTTGTAGAATATTGTTCTTTTTTGGTTCTGATGTTTCTCAGGTCGTTTATCTTGTTTAATCATTAGCATATGTCTTCTTGGATATGTGTATGGATTTGAAGGGTATCTAAGATACGTAAAATATGTGTAAACTATTCTTATTTTTAAAAAAATGTATATATAATCTATATCAGAATCGTGATAAAGTTGGTGATTGTTATTGACTATATAATTGCTCACGTAGGTAACGAAATGAATGTCTCTTCTTCATCAGTTGAATCACTTGTATTTGCTGTCTGGAATGCATTAAAAATCATAAAAGTAGAAGGAACCAAAAAAAGGTTCGTCCTTCAATAATCCCACTAGCCAAAGTAAAATCACCGCGATCCAGGATGATGAGCTCCGTCTCCGCCGAGGAATTTCTCGCGCGATTCTTCTGCGAAGAAGACATCCCAAAGGGGGAGGTGAGTGGTTCGGCACCACAGCCCGCCTCCCGCTTGGAGCTCCGCCAATGGCATTCCCTCCACCGCTCCCTGCGGCAGCTCTGCCGGGAACATCAGCTGCACCTCGCCGAGGACCTCTTCACTTTCTTAGCGTCTAACCTTCCTTACGTGGAGCGATACCTCAGAGGGGGGTTGGGGGAAAAAAAAAACCCGCCTGAAGTCGACGCCTGCGGCTTTTCAAACATGGAAAAGCAAGGGGGGGTGCCCTCACAACGAGTTCTCACCGCCCTCCTTCGTTCCTGCGTGCGTTCCGCATTTAGACTTGAGCTCGATTCCTCGGAAAGAGGAGCGCTTCGCCCGATCAAGCTTTCCGATCTTCCGGTTTCTTCCGAAAACGGGGTCGTTCGTTTCGTCCCACTAGGGTGTGCGGTGTTGGAAAGTTGTTTGGGAGGGGGATGGCGGCCGGGATGGGTACACGACCTCGTTGGCGAGGCTGGGAGCGGGAAAACACAACTCGTGCTGCAGAGCGCATTGCAATACCTCGCGGAAGGGATTGCGGCTCGACTCCTCCCCAGAAACGGCGACAACCCCGTCTTTTTCGACGCCAATGGAAGAGGGAACCCGGAAGGAAACCGGGAAGGAAACGAAGGGGGATTCAGTTGTGTGTATCTCGCCTCGGAGGAGATCCCTGCGGCGCGTCTTGCGCCTCTCGCCCTCGGCGCCATCCAACGCATTCGACGGCGTTGCGGAGAGGCCTTCAGTCGTTATGGGGAGGCGGTCTACGTGGAGGGGCTCGCACGGCTGCGGGCGGGCCTCACCGTGGGCGCCGTGCTGCAGGGGCTGAAAATCCGCAAAGTTCACAGCCTGGAGGAGATCGACGGGCTGCTCCGTTCCGGCCTTCTTGCGAGCGTGATCGGAACAGGAAATCACAACGAGGAGAACGAGGGAGGGGGTGGGATTCTCATCGTGGATTCCATCGCCGCGGCCGCCGCGGGGAGCAGGGCGGGGGTGGAGAAAGCGGCGTCGTTCGCGCGGGGGGGAGGGTGGCAGGCGTTACTTTCGCGCGTAGGCGCGGAGCTTCGTCAACAGGCGGCTTCGCATCGCTGGGTGGTGTTGATTACGAATCAGGTGCGGGCGATTCCCGCGGCGGCCCGTGCGGAGGCCCTCCCTGCCCGCATCCAGCCCCCAAAACGTCCACGGCGGGGTTTTTTTGGGGATGGGGAGTCTGGGGAGGAGTGGGCTCCCGCCTTGGGGATTCGATGGATGGTCACCCCTCACGTTCGGGTGTTGCTTCAAAAGCGGGGCGGTTACGACCAAGGGGAGGGGGTGCCGGGTTCGAACGCGCCGAGGCTTTTTACCTTACTTTCCAGTCCGGCCGTGGCGCCCGCGCAGGTGGCATTTAAAATCACCCAGTATGGTATTGAAGCCGGCGATTAATGTGGCAAACCTAGCATCGTGAAGGACGCTCGTTTCCTGATGTATGGCCTTTTCACTGTATAGTACTGCTTACTTTTTGTAGACCCAATGGGAATAAACAGTTAAGGGATAGAAAATCGGGATAGATGCGAAGCGCTCTATAAAAGAAGTTATTACGCCCGCTTCCCTGTCTAAAAAACCTATCCCTCCCCTTTTCCCTTTTGAGGGAAGTAGGTCACTTATTCCATGAATTTCATTCCTATGCCGCCACTGACGATTGTAGCAATCCCCTTTAACGAGATTCAGAATATGTAGCAATCTGGAGCCACGGGTAAATGATGGCGACCTTAAATCAAGGCCCTAGTTGCTATTACCGGGGCTTAAATCCTTCTGCTTGTCCATCTAAAAACATTTTATACCCCTGGCTTA